ATACTGGTGATTCAGTTTGAGACGTCGACTGACAGATAAAGACAGAAGACGAATGAGGACGCAGAAGAGGAGAGACACATGCATATGCAAATGCTGAATGTAAAAATGTTAATGCAAGGATGCAAGAATGAAAGGTTTCATGGAACTTAAGTTTTTATAAACGTATAGCATACCAATGAAAATTCATTTTTCGATACTGGATTACAAGTGAATATTCTTATAAGAGTCCTGACATAATAGCTAAATAAAAGCTAAATAAAGCCCTAAGGAAGTCCTTCATCACATTTGGTGATTTGTTCCTTCGCTTGGGTCTTCTTGAATATAAGTTTTATTGATGATCGACGTCTAAAAATTTGATAGAGGAAAATAAATCCTCCATCTCTTCTTTTGTTCTTGTGAGAAAGTGAGGAATCAATCCTTTGTATTCTCGGACCTTCAATATTGATGAGGGTCTTTCAAACTTCATTTGTAATATGTTGGTCTTTTGAGTTTTCTTCAATTTGAGCTCCTACTTCCTTAGGTCATCCAAGTTAGGACTCTTAAAAGAATATTTCAAAATATTTTTCTTTTGTAATCCCTATTGGTTTCTATAATGTTTATAAACTCGGGATTCCATGAAACCAATGCAATATGATGTTATATGAGTGCAACAAACACAAGTAAGCACATAAGGACACAGAGATAAACAAGGGGGACCCTAGGTTTGCAACGAGCATGGAGCAAAGGTATACCCATCCCAAAGGTTTAAGGACTAAAGGTTGTTTGTACCTGCAGAACAAGGTTCTAATGGGACTCAGAATCATCAGCCCATCTATCGGATATTATCAATTTTCCCAATTACTCGAGGATTAATAATATTCTCAAGAGAACTTCTTTTGAGTGTAGCTTCGCGTAGCACTATTTCGGAAGTACTTCCTCATAGTCTCGCACTACGTCCTAATAAAGGCCAAAGTTGGGTTAAGGTAACTACGGTCCTCAATATCATGGACTCCAAAGTCGAAAGTAGTGAGTGTCTTCACGATTGCTCGTTCAACAGTACTATCTCGAAAGGGCCTCAACTGAGCGGGATTCTCGATTCAACTTAGTAGGGATTCCACTCCCTATAAGCCTTATCGAATATATCAACATCCTATCTGAATTTCTCTCAAAGTTCGGGTGTAGAACTTTATCTCACCACTCAAGAACAGTAACCCCAAAAGAAATACAAGAGAAAACATGTAAACACATAATCAAGTAGGCAGATATATAAAGCAGTAAACAAAACAAAATAAGATAGGGGAAACCCACTAGAGAGTCCCCAGTGAAGTCGCCATTTCTGTCACGGTGAAATTTGGATACCAAACTATTAATTAGTTTGAATCGTTAATTCATTTTGCAACCGAACTTTGATTTGTCCAAAGGAAGGGATAAAGATCGAAATTCCCACAATGCAATGCAAATGCAAGCTAGATTGTTTTAGGTTCGGGGGTTGGTTAAACTTAGGGAAGGTACTAGCATCCTAAGTTTCTGTAGTACTCTACAGGAACCTCTTGTTTTATGTTTTGTTTATTGCTATGTGTTTATCTGCTTAAGAGATTAAAGACCCTAGTGGTTTATATCTAAGTATACTCGATAAGGCATCGCACCTTGTGCCTACGTATCCTTACGGGAATGGAATCAGAGTATTTCGTAGTTCCCCTAAAGGGTTTGAGGAAGTCTTTGATTGTGGTCAAAGTTCCTACGGGTTTAGGGTAGTTGTTTGATTGGGTTTAGGAGAAGAGACGAGTCTTCATTTTAAGGGAGATATAACCACCACAAATGTAAAGGGGTTTGTAGGAAATGGTCTTTGCATCGTCTTAAGAAAAGGTCTTACATACTCGGATGGTCGCCAAGTATGCCTTTGTCGTTCTTAAGGCAAAGTCCCTACATGTTTGATTGTATTGTTGTGGAGGTGGAGATTATATCTCACTTAAGATGATTAACATCTATTCTCTATTGTGTTTGTAGAAGTTGTATTGTGTTGATTGTTTTGTCTAAGTTGTAAAGAGTAAAGATAAGGTCCTTCCTATGGGGTAGGTCCTAAACTTAAGCGATCAACTTGAAGAATCAAGGATCAAGGGGGAGCATGATGCATATGATGTGCAACTACACACAACGTTGAATTATGTGTAGGTTTTTCCTTTGGACGAATGCAATGCGATGAATGTAAATATGTAAATGAATTGCGATAATGTAAATTGCAGAAATATAAACCATACACACGCATGAAAGCGCTGAGTGAGTGTGTGTATTGTGGATAAGATAACAACAGATAAAGATAAAACGATACATACGCATGAAAGCGCTAAGTGTAGGTGCAAGTGTCGTGAGTGCACGATTGATTTGCATGATGTTAATTGATTTTAAACGATTGATTTGTTTTTAAATGGGATGTTGGACTGTTTTTATTTTGAAATGTAAGAAAAGTGTTGATTGAATTGATTTCAGTACAAGTTGATTTAGTCATACTAGTTTTAGATGAGAGATTCTTTTTATAAGTAAATTTTATTTTAAAACACGAAATGATTTATCTAAAAAGGTTATGGTTATTGTTATTAGCAAATGAAATATATATATTTATAAAAATGATTTCTGATATAAAAGTTCTTTTTTGTTTAAGTCACATAGAAATTTAATTATTATTAACCAAGAAATGATCTCAATTATATTATAAAGGTTTATATAAAAGGTTCTGAATTGTTATAAAAAGGCAAAGGTTGATTTTAGATTAAAAAGAGTTTATTATTATTTTCTAAAAGGTTATTTTAAATATGTAAAAGAAAGGGTATGATTTATTAATTTAGAAAAAAAAAGGTTTATTAGTCGTCAAGTAATTAAATTTGTTTAAACAAAAGATTAAAGTTGATTTATTTAAAAAAGATTAAAGTGGTTATTAAGGTGATTAAGCGATTATGTGTGTGTTTAGTGGATGATTAGTGTGTGTGATGTGTGTGATTTTAAATTACATTACAAATAAAATAACCAAACAAACAAACAAAAAAAGAAAAGAAAAGAAAAGAGACGAAAACCCTAAATCTCCGCCCCCCCAATTCCCTCCGTCGGCGTTCGCTTCCTCCCTCTCCCTCTCCGCGGCTTCTTCGGTTTCGCTTCCCTTTCTACACAAGCAAACAAATAACAAAGAGTATTAAGGCGTTAAAATAGAATCCTCACAGTGCTTTTTCGCGTCTCTGAAGGGGCAATGAGGATGAGAGGATTCCCAAATGACGCCGGCGGTTTCGTGAGGAGACTGATGAGTTTCAAAGGTCGAGAGCGGCAACGATATGAAGAAGATAAGTTTCGCAAATTTCTTCTTTTTCTGAATGTATTAGGGTTTCGATTTTGGATTTAGGGATTTTCCGGGTGTCCCTTCTTCTCCTTTGACTCCCTTTTATAGACGTCAAAATAAAATGCATCTTGATTGCTGTCTTGAATGTTGATTTGATTGTTGGTTGGACTTTCCGATTCTGTTTAGCTAGGATTTGAAATCTTTCCTTTTCCGTTTCTTCTGAGTTAATGTTGTTGATGAGAATCACAATCTCTGATATGGAAATTGGATTTGATTTAGTCTGAATAGAATCTTCCATTGTTTCAAGGAATATCCTTTAACGGTCATATTTGATTTGTGATTTGTAGGACAGCTGGCAATAACCGAAGAGTTTTGGGTTTCGGGTCGTAACCTTCTGCACACCACGGCGACCCTGGAGTTCGATTCGTGATGATGTCCGGAAATTGCTTAAAGGGAAAAGCGGTCTCCTCCAACGGGTATTTGAGGCCTGTCAACATCTTCTCTTCAAAAACAAGGTGAATCGCAGTTATTATGTATTCGTCACTGGATTGCCCTCTATAGCCTTTCCTTTGCACACAATTTTTCATACATTCCTGACTCCTTGATATGGCCTCATCATCTTGCAGCTCACGTGTTATATTCCGTCAATCCTCTCGCTTCCTATGGTATGCAGGCCTTCAATTGCTAGTTTTAAGGTGTTTGTCCTTCTCTAATCATGTTAAATGGTAGTACAGTTTCGTGTTGCGGGCATTGATAACTTGTAAAACCTCGATATAGAGCAAGTTTCAGCTTCAGCTGAATTGAACTCTATGTCGCTACTTACACGGGAATATGCGTCAATCCACTGATTATCTTTATTACCTTTAATTGTCTTCCATTTTCCCCGGCCATTAGTTTGAATTATACGTGTTCTTTGCTGGCTTGTATTACACTAATGCCTTGTATTAATTTATCTTCATGTGCTTGTCGCAACTTTGGTCACGGTGGATCGTATGACACGGAGAAGCTTTGGCAGTTCTTCACATATGGAGCTTGGCACAAAAACTGTGGCGACTTGCTTTGATGAAGGTTGGCACAATGATGAAGCAGGTTTGATGGTAATAAAGTCTTGATTACAAAAGTTAGGCCACTAAACAGCTTCGACACGTTGTATAGATTTTTATCTCTTAGGGTTCTTCATTATCTATGTCCGATGACTCATAACTCGTAAGCCTTGAATGGCGTTATTGCGAATACCCTTGAATTTTGATACGAATGCGGCATGATGCGTTTACTTGAGCCACCCTCTGTGAAGTTTGATCTTGCATTGTCATTGAGAAACTCACCGCTTTTATCTCATTCTTGACGTCAGGTTGTAGCTGCTCTCGGGAAGAATCCAATGGTTTCAATGCAATTACCGTGACAATGCATGCTTGCACTTCCTACTGCGATCGCCGGCAACTCAAGATTTGGTTAGAAGTTGTGCCTTAGAAGCTGGAATGCAGGGGGATTGTCCTTTTACTGGAAGCTGAGAGATGGACGAAGACTGGCGGAACCGACAAGGTGCAGATTCCTTCTAGAACTTCTGGTTATTTGGCATAATGTTGGATTTTGATGTTTTTGCATGAAATAGTGTTTTGATCCTCAATTGTTTGTTGCAGGATTCTTGTTTAAGTTAGGAACAACAGAATTCATTGATGTTACACATCTTTCATGATTACCAGCCAAAACCGTCTGAGAAACTCTCTGTTGGTTCCTTTTGTAAAGTTGAGTTTGTTGGCGACATTTCTCGCGGAGATGGTGGAAAGGCTCGGTTCCAAATCAAACTTGGTTGCAACTCCAATGCCTTCATATTGGAATCAACTGGTTTCTTAAGGCTATGTAACTTCTCGCAGCCGAGATTAAAAGTAAGGTCCAGTTCAATATCTAGAGATGATTCCTCTTCAATATCCTTGCCTGAAGACGTAGCAGTGCAAGCAACAACCGAACTTCCTTTGTTGTCTGACGAACTGGTTGAACGCCCCACAATCTTGAATGCATTTGCAGAATTATTAACAGGAAATCCCAAGTGCAAGAATGTTGGTTCCATAAAACAAACTGTTGTAGTAATGAACTGTTTTGTAATTGGTTTTGAGACGAGCTTGTAGTATTGATCTAATTATTCCCATTGGCATTTCCTTTTGACAAAGTCCTCTTGACAAAGTTTGAAGTTTTGAGCATTATTGTAGATCTTATCAATCTCGTAGTATGTTCTTATTTAATAGCAGTAGAGTTCTCATCAAACACTTTGAATTGTGAATCCTGCTATCCTTATCTCTAAACGCTTTTTGCTTCCTATGTGTCCCTAGCGTCACACCTCTGATTGAGATGTAATCGGAAAGCGCATCCCAAGCCGTTTTCGGTGTAATGATCCAATAATAGCTCAAGAGAAATGTTAGTGACAAAATGGGTAACATAATGATAATAAATATGATAGAAATAAATATAACATTAGTAATAATAGTTGTAAAACGTAAATATTATATTAAAATAGAGTCAAATAATAATATAAAAAGCGCAAAAAGAGGTGGAATCCTACGGTCAAAAATTAGGGTGCAACACCTGGACTCTGGCTGCTCACATCACATGACGGGAGAAAGGTTTATGTTCCAAAGCCTGGAGCTTAAATTTGGAGGAGACGTCGAGTTTGGAGGGAATCAGAAGGGCAAGATAATTGGCTCTGGTACTATTGGCAATGGTAACCTTCCCTTTATATCTAATGGTTTACTTGTAGAAGGATTAAAATATAATCTATTGTCCATAAGTCAATTAAGTGACAATGGTTATGACATAATCTTTAATCAAAAATGTTGCAAAGCTGTCAGTCAAAAGGATGGCTCAATCCTATTTAATGGAAATAGGAAGAACAACATTTACAAAATCAATCTTTCAGAACTTAAGGTTCAAAATGTAAAATGCCTTATGTCTGTTAATGATGAGCAATGGGTCTGGCACAGAAGATTGGGGCATATTAATATGAGACGTATATCTCAGATTAATAAACTCAATCTGGTCAGAGGACTTCCTAAGTTGAAGTTCAACTCAGATGCTTTTTGTGAAGCATGCCAGAAAGGAAAATTTTCTAAATCTTCTTTTAAAACTAAAAATGTTGTTTCAACTTCAAGACCATTAGAGTTACTTCATATTGATCTGTTTGGACCAGTGAAAACTGCATCCATCAGAGGCAAGAAGTATGGATTAGTCATTGTTGATGACTACAGCAGATGGACGTGGGTGAAATTCCTAAAACACAAGGATGAGTCACATTCTGTGTTCTTTGACTTCTGCAAACAAGTCCAGAATGAAAAAGATTTTAAAATTGTTAAAGTCAGAAGTGATCATGGTGGCGAATTTGAAAACAAATATTTTGAAAAATATTTTAATAATTAAAATTGTTAAAGTCAGACGTGATTAATGGTGGTGGTAAAGAAGAAGATGATCACACATTTGTCCTTCATCAACTTATCCATGAGTTAAAGACCCACAGATTTATAACGGCACTAAAAGAAAAATGGATGCGCTTCCCTGAAATATATCATCTCATAGCAAATGTGTATGATAGAGTGTATTGATCTTACAAGATACGGTTTTTCAAAAACTTATTTTCTACTGTGCGCTTCCCCGCCTCAAAATCAAAATGATTGTATTATGTATATTGAGTGGCTAACAAAATCACGAAACTTTTTGTTCAAATTTATTTGAAATTGAAATTCTTTATACCACTTACATCAGTGAAGTGGACGACTCGTTTAACAACAAAAATTAAACTTCATTTAACAACAAAATACGAGAATTGATCGGATTTATTTGTGGAAAAGATGTAAGAGTTGACCAAATTGAGCAACATTGAAAGATAATCAAATGCACAAAAGTCAAAGCGAAAACTACCTATACTTATAAATTCAGCCGACGACAAATTTCTCGATTTGTCTTAGATTTTTACCATCAATTAGTTATATGCAATTGTGTATTAATATTAATAAAGTGTAATACATACAATTTTAAATATTTTAATATATTTTGATGTTTGTCAAAAAAAACTTGTACATTTGTTAAACAAAACACACGAGTTTTATTTTCTGGATCGAGAGGTTCCGGAGATGCATCTCTAGAATAAAAGAATAGCGTGGTATCCAAGATGCATCTCTGAAACCTCCACTGATACAAGATATGACTTTTGAGATTCATATTTGTCTACAACTTCTATAAATATAGACTCTTGTATCATATCTCATACAAACAAAAAATGTCACAAATGTCGAAAATGAACCTCTAGTATGTCGCAAATGTTTCCTTTTCCAACGTGACACCCGAACAAAAATGTAAGATCAATGAGTACACCCATTTTGCAAATTTGCAATACAAAATACAAAATCTCCTACCTTTCGGAGATAATCAAAAAATTGTGACGCTCGGGCAATTAACAAAGAATGTAAGATTTAGTTCAATAACTATGAGCTCAATGCAGATGCAAATGTGAGACATATGTGAAATACATTTTTCCATTTCAAAACAAAAATTCTGATCGAGGTGGAAGCAAGATCGTTCAAAAATATTGTAAAGATGTTGAAACGTCCACCTAAATATTTAAATATAATATTCAATTTTATGTTAATAACACCTATGGAATGATGATTTTATGTTATAAATTATAATTTTATTTCATCAAACTACAACTTTATAGTTTTCTACTTCTATTTCTATTTTAGTATACTACAAATATGCATCTACAGACAGGTCGCAGAAATGCATCTCCAAATCTAAAAAGACCACACTTCAAGACATGACTCATGCATCTCCAAGTCTAGAAAAACTCACACTCCAAAGACATGACTCATAACTAACATAGTGTGTTTGAAATCCATTCAAAGATGCATTTTCAAAAATTAAAAATATTTTTTTATTTTCAAATGGTGACCTAGTAATATATAAGACGCATTAAAAAATTCTATAAAAAAATAGCAAATAAAATAGAGATGTAGACTCAAATGCATCTCCTAGAAAAACCCACACTCCAAAGACATGACTCGTAACTAACATAGTGTGTTTGAAATCCATTCAAAGATGCATTTTCAAAAATTAAAAATATTTTTTTTATTTTTAAATGGTGACCTAGTAATATATAAGACGCATTAAAAAATTCTATAAAAAAATAGAAAATAAAATAGAGATGTAGATGTAATGCTTCTAACAACCGGTGACAAAAATTTAAAGTTGTCTCCATGTTGGTGCACCCTACTAACTCTAGCAAAAGAACATAAAAAGTAATTCAATGTACTTTGTGAGACGAGTAATTTACCGAGTAGGTAAAAAGAATCTCCAGAAAAGAAAATAGTAATAATATCTCAGGAAGGTATGATGCATAATATTAAGCTGAATAGGTCTCAATTAGGGCTGGAAATGAGTCGAGTCGAGTCGAACTCACCTCAGCTCGGCTCGACTCGTTAAGAATTGTTCGAATTCGAGTTCGAGTTCGAGTTCGAGTTCGACACGAACTTTTTTTTAAGCTCAAACTCGACTCGTTATAAGTTCACGAACAGTTCGGCTCGACTCGTTAGGTTCATCTCATTAGGTTCAGCTCACATGGTTCACGAACTTAAAAACTATTTTTTTAAATATATATATTTTTTAGTATATTTGACATTTTAAATAAATATATATTTTTAAAATAAAATATTAAAATAAAATAAAAGTTATCATATTGAAATTTAACTTTATCTTCGAAATCTACTACTTCAAAACCTACACAACTTTCAAGAGATACATTTGAGAGTCTAATTCAAAAACTAATAAATTGAAGATTAAATTTGTCTAAGATTTGAAGTAAATATTTAAACCTAATCTTAAAGACAGTATAATTCTTTTCATATGTAATCGAGTTGACTCATGAACCTAACGAGTCGAACTATGTATAGTTCAAGTTCAGCTCATTTAGTTAACGAACTTAATTTTTCGCTCATACTCAACTCATTTGGTTCATGAACCTAGTTCAACGATTTAATTGTCGAGTCGAATTCCGAACTATCTTCGAGTTGGTTTGGTTCATTGCCAGCCCTAGTCTCAATGAGTAAGAAAAATGTATCATTTTTCAAGATAAGTTTAATTAAGTAAAATACTTTCATTGATAGCCTAAATAAGATGCACATAAATATAAGGGTATTGCTAGTAAAAACTAATTACAAAAATCATGAATATTTTTCAATCAAAAATAAATCATGAATATTACAATCAACTTTTATTATTTATATGTTAACAAGTTTACGAACTCTACTTTAAAATCTTGCAAAATTGAAACTAAAAAACTTAAAATCCAACAGTAGCCAGCTGAGCATGTGCTAATATCATCTATTATCAGCTTGACATAGCCTAGCTCGGCCAGGATTTAAAAGTGACTCTGACATTGTCCAGCCCTGCAAGTAAATAGATTTATAATTTATATGTGCTTGGGCATTTCGAATTATCAATTAGATATATACAGTAACAGAAAATTAGTTCATATCCCAGCAGCCAGCCCTTAAATGTTCATTATTTACAATTAACAGTGTGATCGGTAACTTAAGACAGAACCTAATAACAAAGTTGCAAATGGCATAGAGTTTGAAGATGTGATCTCTTATAAACTATCTTCACTGCAACTACAACAACAAACTCCAAAATGAAGATGGGCATAACCTGATCCTTGATAGAGAATTTTTCAAAACCAATGCCGTGTCTGCCCAAGGTATACTTGCACCAAGTAAGACATCATGCAACAAGCCAGCAGAGTGTGGACAAAGAATAGGAATCTGGTATTTTATTAAGAATAAGAAAGACATTCTTTGATTGCAGCATTGCAAACCTTTCAGGATTTGCACCTTATGGTCTCAAGGTCACAATTATCTCACAAATGCCAAGATAATTTCCACAATTGACACCCCACAAACCAACTGGAAATTTTCTACTGTGTTTTGTTCACTCGCTTCGCAGTCGCGCGCTCTTTCGGAAAACTTCTTGTCAAATCACCCTTCCTAGAATGCTCCAAGTCAAGCTCCTTTGGAGCTCCAAAGATGT